GTGTGAGTATATTGGGGTGGGGGGGGGGGGGGGGGGCATCCAGCATGTATTTCCTTCTTTCATTGATAAAGGGGGCTTGCCTTAATTAACTCTTAACTGTGTAAAACTTTTACACAGGGAAAGATGGATTTATTTGGGGTTTTGATCCCTTTGGGGAGGGATTGGTTTCTTGGGTGCTGTGCACTAGAACAGTGTTTCTCAATCAGTGGTACGAGTACCATTAGGGGGTACTTGAGAGAAGTCGGGGGGGGGGGGGGACATCAACACAACTGAAATTTGGAGAAAACTGAATTTTTGTGTTAAGTTTTATAGCGCTTTCTTATTTTTAGACTTTTTACACCCAAAACATTCATCACCCACCCGGCTAACATTAAGTTGGTTAAACAAATGTGTTGCAATGGTAGGGGGAAAAAAAAGGTGGGTCTGAAAAGTGTAGATACTGGGGGTACGTATAACTTTTTTTTTAAAGGGGTACTTTATAAAAAAAGGTTGAGAAACACTGCACTAGAACTAGAACTCATCCAGAGCTGAAATGGTTCATTGTCTGCAGTGTTCTGTAGGGGGGGCGGTTATCACAGTGCTATGTCTTTTCTGGGGGAGACTAGAGATTCTGGTCTAATAGAACAGGGGTAGGAATCCCAAGAGAGTAAGAAGGCGAGTGTCAGTGGCGTAATCAGCACACTGGGGAACAGTCCCAAAGGGATCTTCTGTGACCACACCCTATCACACTTACCTATGGTGGAAAGTCTGATTTCAAAATTTAATTTGTGAGACATTAATGAGCAAGACAAGGTTTTGTGGTAATATCTATTTGGAGGGTTATTTTTGGAGGGGGGTTCATCCAGATGTCTGTTGCTGTGGGTACTTCTGGTTTGAGAGCCTTATATGTATTTAAAAATAGAAATAGCAATCTCCCTCTGTGGTTTCATTGCCTTTCTAAGGGATGTGTTGGAAGCCCCATCACTTAGCTCTTTTAAAATATAATTAACTAAACAACATTGTGTATAGGCAGAGAGACGGACTGCATTATATGATATAAAAATATACACAGGACCTGAGTAAAGGATGAGATAAATTATGTAGCATGATGGCGATAAAAATTGAGTACGGGCACAGAGTTTTTAGTACAACAGTTAATATGGCCAGATACTTACCCATGGGAAAAATCACTAAAACAAAAATTTTCAGAGGGGTAGCCAAGTTAGTCTGTAACAGGAAAAATTTAACAAACAACAAGTAGTCTAGTAGCACTTTAAAGACTAACAAAACATGTAGATGGTGGTATGAGCTTTCGTGGGCACAACCCACTTCAGATGACCAGAATGTTGGAAGTGTGTTTTAAGTGTTTACCTCAGACTAAGATTCAGGAGAATGGCACATGAGTCTGTCCATAAATAGATCAATTATGAAAGATCACCAGCCTCGGCGTAGAACTTGCCTGGGCGGAACAAGAAAATAGTTTCATCCTAGATAAAACCAGTTGTTTCTAACTTCTATGCACACTTCTAGGATTTGAAGGAATTGGCTTTTCTCAGAAGAGAGCAAAGAGATGATGCATTGGTAAAGCCCTTTAAAAACACAACTGGATGGGTTACAGAGACAACGTAGGTGGCAGGACAGAGAGAGGAACAAAGGGACAATCATTTGGAAGGAGAGGAAACTGCAGAACTAGCCAAGGCTGAAATAAATTGGTTGCAGGAGAGAGATGAGAACCTATAATTCAGAGGAGAAGCCATGAGCTGCAGCAGGAGGAGTCTAGACTCTGACCAAGCCCCAATCTTTGAGTGGTGAAGAAACTGAAGCAGGGAAGGGCATATAGGTGTATTATTGTTTTTATCTACATAGCTATTCTACTGCCCAAAGCAGACAGTAGGGCTGCGTCTACACTGCACACTTATTTCTGAATAAGCTACTCTGGAAGAAATATTCCAACATAGCTTATTTTGAAATAGTGCACCTACACTACAGGGAAGCTTCAAAATTAGTCCCTAATGAGGACGTGCTACCTCAGTTTAGAGCCCCAGGAGGCACAGGGGAATAATTACTTTGAATGGCCCTGGGGAGGAGCTTTTTTGAAAAAGCAGCAGTGGAGCCTCCACACTACTGCTATTCTGAAATAGCTATTTTGGAAGCGGTGTTATTCCTCATGGATTGAGGTTTACAGATTCTGGAATAAGCCACCCATTATTTCGATATTATTTTGTAGACACTTGCAAAGTTATTTTGGAATAACGGCCGTTATTCTGAAATAACACTGCTGTATAGATGCACCCTAACGGTTTTTAGAAATCCCTTTTTCAAAGCCTGGCTACGTCTACACTGGCCCCTTTTCCGGAAGGGGCATGTTAATTTCACCTATCGTAGTAGGTGAAAAAGCGCCCTTTTCCGGAGGCTCTTATTCCTACTTTGAAGTAGGAATAAGAGCCTCCGGAAAAGGGCGCTTTTTCACCTACTACGATAGGTGAAATTAACATGCCCCTTCCGGAAAAGGGGCCAGTGTAGACGTAGCCCCTATGTCTGTGTCAACTATCACATGTCTATGAAGAGAGAAACTATAAGAGAGAAACTGTAAATCAGAAGGCTCACAAAGCTGGAGGTCTAGGAGAAGGTGTGCTTAAGCAACTTGCGAGTCTGTGGGAGCTAGCCTTAGTCTCTAGGTCTATACAGATGGACTACAGTGTTTTGGCTCTGAGGAGGGAGAAGAGAGGACGTTGCTACGAAGAGAATCTGCTCTCAGAGTTGCCCTACAAACTCAGCTGTCGGCCATACCTGACAGATTCAGAAAAGCATAAAAACACATGGTCCAGTGTGTGGAACACAAACACAACATGGTAAGGAAGGTGAGTTTGAGTAGTGCTGTGCCAGTCAGACATTATATGTAGAACTGATACCCAAGCGTAAGGGAATGAAGGGGCTGCAAGAGATCCAGCAATAGTTGGAGCAACTGTCACAGCAATATATTGTACAATATCTTCATTTTAGGCAAACAATGGTTCGTAGTGGAAAGAATGGTGGGCTCCATCTGAAACAGATCTCTTATTACAAACGAACAGGGGAATATCATCCAACTACATTAGCAAGTGAAAGAAGTGGAATAAGAAGAGCAGCCAAAAAATTTGTTTTCAAAGGTTAGAATATTCTCTCTCTTTTTTGGGAAATACATTACTTCCTGATTTCTTTTTCAAGGTGAAGACTTGCTTATAGCACAGTGAGACCAGTGTCTGATTTTTGTATTTGCTTATAAAATAAACTCATCTGTGTGTCATAGGTTAGCATGCATATGAACATTCTTAAAAACAATCTGTCCCCATGAGCCTCTTCATTAGCATGTTTAATTGTATTTACATGGTCTGGAGAGCCATCTAATAATTAAAGCCCATTTTAGCTACTAGTGAAATCTCTAACTGCTGATCATGACTCAAGGAAGGTGAAAATATAAACGCTGATCTTTAACTAATGACAAAGAGACTATTTTGTTTACCACAATAGTAGGATTGGCAGGAAAGGCAGAGAGTGGATAGGAAGTTGACTCAAAGTGCTTATATGGGGAGTAAGAGATGCAAAATAAGCCCTAGTATGTGCAACAAGTTCTGCCAGCAGAAACTGTGAAGCATGTGACCTCTTAGTTTTACTAGATTATGCTTCAGAGATTTCATGGAGGAACACAATTTCTCTTGTGCTCCTGTAGGAATAGGTAAGGGTGCATTGCCCAGTACTTGAAGTTGATGGAGTACAGCAATAAACAAATACTCCCTGCTAAAGAGAGATTTGGTATGTAATTGTACACAGCTGAAAATAGTGAATAATGAGTTTAATAAAATCCATAACTAAGACTATCCAATAGTTGAACGGACTTATGTGGTTATGTCTTAAATATGCCATATCATTTATAATATTATTTTTCTTCCCAGAAAATAAATTATTCTATGTGGGGAAAGACAGGAAACAGATGCGTTTGGTAATTGTCTCAGATGAGGAGAAGAAGAGAGTTCTACACAAATGCCATGAAAGCCCTGCAGGTGCACATCATGGCATATCAAGGACTCTGACTCTGGTGGAGTCTAATTACTACTGGACTTCCGTAACAAATGACGTCAAACAGTGGGTATGAGTCATAACTATAGAATATTTGTATCTAGTCTCTGAAATAAGCTTAATTGAGATAGTGCTGATTGCTTTGTACAATTCTTTTACAAGACTCCTATCTTTAACCTCCCTTTTAATGAAATAGCTGAACAATATTGTGCTGAAACTTAAAAATAACAAGGGAGGGGGATGAGTGTGCAAGTGTATGCTAAAAATAAACCCTAAGTTGCTTAAGAACACCCTTGTCATTAAAAGTCAATGGGATTTATCTGGAGACACTTTTGAAAAATCCAACTAAGTCCCATTGAGTTGTATGAGATTTGTGTTCTTAAGTCACTGGGAGGGCTTTTGAAAATTCCTCCTCGGGTTGATACCTGGGTTCAGTTCAGAAGTAGAGACTGTTTTCAGTGTTATAATGGAGTAAAAATGTGATGCTAGAAAAACTAAATTTGAGGGCTAGATTGTTGGGATTAAACTTCCAGTGCTCTGTTGAGCTTGAGGCCTCCACTCTAAGACTCTTAATTCAACAAACCTCATGCATGTATTTAGATTTTTCAATTATTTTAAAGTTAGTGTTAGACAATAAAATGTCAGAATACAATGGTTACATAGGTACAAAGTGGCCACATTGTAGTTTTGTTTTTTCTTAACCAGTGTACCTTTAATGTATAGCACAATTATGTATTGTGGGCACAGCCTGTACTGAGTGATGGTGAGGGGTTGCTCTAAGTGAAAGTATCAGGAAGTATTCAGATTCAGGGAGGCAGAAGAGGGTGCTGGTAAGTAAATAGAGGCTGCAAGACCACTGTTAAACCTTTTTGTGGAATACAGCTTACTATCCTGGACCACACACACTTCTTCAGAATGGCTGGCCTGGGCATAGCAAGGATAGAAGTTGTGCTTTGCCAATCCTTATGTCCTTTTGGGCATTAGGTGTATCTAGGGGAATTTCTTATATGGGACACCCAAATGGAAATCATTTTGCACTCCTTATCAGTAGAGCCCTGCATGGATACAAAATTTTGTATCCTCACCTGTATCTGCAAAAATAGGTGGCAGATCTCTGCAAATTTGCAGGGTTCTAGATACAAACTTTGTATCTACATCTGCAAAAATGATACTTATCACACAGATTGTGCACTTTCAGAATTTGATCCTGAGACTGACTATACATACACTTGCCAAATTATTGTTGCTCTTGCAGTCAGCTACATTTCCTTAGATCATAAGTATAGGTCATAAGTATAACTTCCATGTTAAATAAACAGTTCTGTACACGTAATTTAGACAGACATAAGACTAGATCCTACTGAGCAGATAAAACTGGTCTCTGGAATGCCATGTCAGATTCTGCCTATGTAACCCATGTAAATAGCCAAAGGAAAATCACCTTTGTGCAGGGGGTCTTCTGGTGGCATAAAATCATCATAACTGGTCCTGTGCACGTCATCTCCCTTCCACCTAAGGAAGAAGCTTGACTGGAGAAAAGGGGACATGACCAGGGTTTCACTACCTGCTGCTGCTGCTGACCAATTGCTGTATTAATCCCTTTGGGGTTGTTGGAAGATAGAGAAGGCTGCTTTAATTGATACGATGGGTCTCAAACTGCACACAGAGTCCCAGGATCCGTGGTGTTCAAAGTTAAGCTGTAAATTACCTTTATACAACCATCTCCCAACCTGTGCTGGGTTGTGTAGTTGTATTTGTTTTCACTATAGCTGAAGATCTGGCTAAAATGTTCAGTAGAATAAAGAAATGTAAAATGAATGTGTTTGGCCTAGAATGGTTCCAGATGCTGTAATTTCTTCTCTTGTTGGAATAATAGATATCTACATTTTTATTCTAGTGACAGCATTTATTGTAAGTCACTCTTTTCTTGTTTCTGACTCAGGTATATGCTTGCCAGCATTGCCAGGTGGCAAAGAATACAGCCATCATAGTACCAAAATTACACCCTATCAAAGCAGAGGATCCATGGACTGCAGTTGCTATAGACGTAATAGGACCTTTTAATGCCACCAGCAGAAATCATATGCATGTCATGATGATGACAGACTTGTTCACAAAATGGGTGGTAGTTCTGCCATTGCAAGACACTTCAGCTGTAGAAATTGCTAAGGCAATTGTCAGTGTGTTTTTCTTGTATGGCCCACCTCAAAAAATGATTATTGACCAAGCAGAAGAGTTTGTTCATCAGGTAAGAGAAATCTGTGCTAAAAGACTATTTTAGGGAAGATGGGGTTTTTTTGTTGTTTTTTTTTATTTTTACAATACCCTTATATTCTAGACTACCTGAGAGGCTCAGGTATCAAATTTACAAGTACTTGTTCATAAAAACTAATTATGTAACTAACTAAAAATGAGTATTTGGGCAGTTACATTTTGCTAAGTTGTGACCACTAACTTTCTTCTCATGATTTGGGGCTTGGTTCAAGCTACCTGAGGGTGGGCACTAATTATGATGCCCTAGATATTTTTCCAGAGCTCTCCTCTTTGATCATTGAATGTTAAAAAATAAAACAGGTCTTGTTGAATAAGGTTATAAAAATGTATTTCTATTAAGTAAAAGTTCTGTGAAGGAGTGATGGTACTGACATATAGAAGAGAGTCATCCTTCAATCATAACTGTCTTTTTACCTCATGAGAGAAGCTTCTGTTCTTTCCGTCATTATTTGTAGTGTTGTAGCCCCTAAGTACCCCAGTCATTGACCAGGATGCTTGTGTACAAACACAGACAGGTCTTGCCCATGGAGCTTATGCTCTAGGTAGTCTCCTTGGTATTAGTAAGGTATTTTCTGCCTGTTGCCTATACTACAGTTTGCTTATACCTTAAGGCTACGTCTAGACTGGCATGATTTTCTGCAAATGCTTTTAACGGAAACGTTTTCCGTTAAAAGCATTTGCGGAAAAGAGCGTCTAGATTGGCACAGATGCTTTTCCGCAAAAGCACTTTTTGCGGAAAAGTGTCTGTGGCCAATCTAGACGCACTTTTCCGCAAAAAAGCCCCGATCGCCATTTTTGCGATCGGGGCTTTTTTGCGCAAAACAAATCTGAGCTGTCTACACTGGCCCTTTTGCGCAAAAGCTTTGCGCAAAAGGACTTTTGCCCGAATGGGAGCAGCATAGTATTTCCGCAAGAAGCACTGATTTCAGACAGTAGGAAGTCAGTGTTCTTGCGGAAATTCAAGCGGCCAGTGTAGACAGCTGGCAAGTTTTTCCGCAAAAGCAGCTGAGTTTGCGGAAAAACTTGCCAGTCTAGACACAGCCTAAGTGTATATTACAGTGGGAGTCCAATCTGTGGCCTGAAGATAACCTGTGACTATCAATGGCCACTCTGCTAAACTTGTACTTGCTTATAAATAGAAAATGTACAGTTGAACCTTTCTAGTCTGGCACCCTCGGGACCTGACTGGTGCCGAACCAGAAAATGTCCCGGACAACAGGAGGTCAATATTATCTACCAGCATTACCAAAACTTCCACTGCTTACTAGGCTCTTAGAAGAATATTAGGGGTAGATTAGAGATGGATAACAACACAGAATATTGAGAGCTAGAACTATTGGCTGTAAACAAACTTTATGGGACTGTAGGAAACTTGGCGGAACCCATGATAAGTGGACATCCAGCTAACTAAAATCATGCTGGACCATGGATTTTGCTGGACCAGAGAGTGTTGGATTAGAGAGTTTCAACCTGTATTTCAGAAGCCAACAGCCTCTACTTTTAAAATGAAGGGGTTTTTAATGGATCTCCTCAGAACCACCTCTTCAGCTGCATCTCACCACTTCCCTTGCAGTCCCAGGAGTACTTCTAGTGTGAGCTGGGAGCACTAGCTGACTGCTGCACTATGATGGGAGATCATAGAGGAGCTCCTCTATGATCTAGTTTTTGGCTGAGCTGTAGAAGACTAATGTCTTGCCTACACTATAACGCTTTGCAAGCATAGCTATACTGAATTTCATATATTAAAAAAAAACTATTTTTCATTGTAATGTATTTGCTCCTGTTCTCCACTTATCTAGCATAAAGACATCAAGTAACTTTCCTAAGGTCACAGTCAGTTACTCAGCCTGAATTAGAACCTTTTGTTGTCCTCTTGTCCTTTTCTGTATGTTGTTTTGCCTTGTTTTTTGGCAGAATAGATTTGCCCTAGGTGGAAAATACTGTAATCGAGTTGCTGAAGAACTTTACATTTTCAAAGCACTCCACAAACACTAATTAACACCTCTGAGAGTTAGATTCACTATTCTCCAGGGGAAACTGTCATAGACTTGAGGCCATATAGTAACAAAACAGTTAGAACTCAGCAATTCATTGCTCCTACTCCCATGCCCATTCCTCCAGACCACATTGTACTGCTTAGATGGGAACTTGGATTTAGGCAGGTATATACAAGGCAATTAATTTTGGCAGTCATATGCTGGTAGGAAAGGGTAGAAACTCAATTAATGCATAATATTTACTGCAGTGTCATAAAAATACTGATTGTTCCTGTGCTTTGTGTGGTTTGTTTGTTTTTGTCTTTAAAGATCAACAGAGAACTATTTGAGCTCTTTGGAATGAAACAAGTGGTATTGTCCTACCCTCAGAAAGATGACAGAAATGAAAAAACATGCAAGATAATCAAAACATTCCTGAACAAATACTGCTCAGACCACCCCAACGACTGGGATAATAATTTATCTGCTATTGCATATGCTTTTAATTTGACTTGTTTGGTATGTGTACATAGTATCTCTCTTATTGGGAGTTGACTGAAGTTGTTATGCAAGTACCTACTAAGACAAGTACTAAGTTTGCCTTTGTTCTTGCCCTGTAAATAGGAGCCAGTACAAAACACACCATATTTCCAAATGTTTAATCGTAACCCTTATGTGTCTGAGACTTCAAATGTACTGCAGGAAGCACATGAGGATAATACATGTATGTTTGCCAAAATTCTTGAAGCAATTAAACAAGCTGATCGAGTTTTAGAGGAAAGGAAAGCTACAAAATGCCAGGTAAATACCTCATATTTAAGTGTTATCCATGAGAAAATGGAAAAGAGTTAAGGTAAACAGGTTTGAAACAAATATTAAAAAAAAAAATCCACGGATCACCATGACCAAAGGCCTTTGTATAACACTTCTGTATGCTTCATTGTATTGTATTTAATCAATGTTACAAAAGCACACAGCTCCTCTCAGCTATAATTCATGTTATTTTTCTATGTAGATTGTGAAAAATAGGCTTGATGAACAGCAAACTGGAAACAAGGTCAATGTTAAAAGGAAGTCAAAGCAAGTAAATCCATTTCATCTTAAAGTTGGACATGAAGTACTAAGACAAAAAAAAAACTGGTGGAAAGATGGCCGTTTCCAGTCAGAGTGGATTGGTCCCTGTATTATAGACTACATCACAGATAATGGATGTGCAATCCTAAGAGATAACACAGGATCCAGACTAAAAAGGCCCATCAAAATGTCTCACCTTAAGCCATATATAAGAAGATCTAATGGACAAGGTAAATCTGTTTCTTCTCTAATTCCATTTGTCAGACAAGGGTATACTATTGAGCAAGAGAGAATCTTAGCGGATTTCTCAGTGTTAATAACAAAGACCTTGTAAAGTAGTCCATGCAGTCAGTGCATTTTCAATAAAGGAAGGACTGGGCTTCCTCTTCCCTTTTTGTTTCTAAATAACCCAACCACAGAGTAGGGGGACGCCTTGACTGCAACTTAGTCTGTCCTTAAAGATTAGTATACTACTTTATACCTTCCCAGAAAAAATCCAGTGAAGTGGTGTCTTTCACCAGTAGTGCGCAGGGTAGAGTTCTTTTAGGTATATTGATATATATTAAGGCTGTGATTCACAAGGTACCTAGATGCCAAATTCTGGTTTTAGGTACCATTGCAATCCACAAAACCCTGAAGGTGTCTAAAGTCACTCAGTACCTAGGTTTCTCCTATCTGAACACTATTGCCTCGCTGTAGGAGTGAGTGACAAAGCAGGAAAGAGGCATCTGGCCCAACTAACTTGTATGCAGGCCTGATCTGGTAAGTAGCCTCTGAGCAAACCTACTGGATAGCAATCCTCAGGTGAATTCAAACAAAACCACTTTTATAAACCTCCCTTATGCCCTTAGCCTAGCTAGTGATCAGAGTGTTCACACAGGATATGGGAGACCTCCCTCCAGCTGAAGTCCTGCCTCCCCACTAGCTATGGAATATTCCAGTATGGATCTCCTTCATCTCCTCTATTGAGATTGTTCCACCTTTAGTTAAATAATTGAGGAATTTAAAATATTAATTGCGCCAGGAAAGTGAGAATGACTGACAGGCTCTAAAGCCTACCAGTGAGGGTATGCTGATGCTTCTGGCCCTCAGGAGGAAGGGGGAATTGAAGCAGAAGTCTGTCACATCCACAAGGGCACTCCTCGTCTGCCCTATCTATTAGGGTTATAAGGGAGTTCCTTCTCCCCTGCCAGTGTGTGCAAGCTAAGAGACGATTGGCATGCCTGGTTCCTGGATCATGCAGTTCAGAGTTAGGTGCCTATTTCTAAAAGAAGCACAGGGCACAGCACATACCCCTCTGGGGAGAACTCCTATTGGTAGTTAAGGTGGCTGCCTACTAAGGCTAGGTCTACACTAGAGGATACATTCAAATTAAGATACACAATTAACGTAGCTGGAGTTGCGTCACTGCAGTCAGTGTACCTTGATTCAAACTTTGATGCTATTCACACCGCAGGGGTTGATGGGAGCACACTCTTCCTTCGACTTCCCTTACTCCTTGCAGGAGCAGACTACAAGCTCCGACGGAAGCACCCTCTCCATTCAAATTAGCATGTCTTCACTATACCCGCTAATTCGAACCCTGGAAGACCAACTGTGGCAGCCTGGATCTTCTCTGTAGTGTAGACAAGCCCTAAGTGTGCTGGTTTTTTGGATCCCATTCTTAGGTACCTATTTCTCCCCAGTTACTGTATGGGGAGATGAGACACCTCAACTCAGGCTTTGCAGATTATAGTGTTCCTGTGACTTTTCTAGGCATCCAAAAGTTAGGTATCCTATGCCTCAGCATTGAAACCCTGGCATCCCTTCATGGATCTGGGCCTAAAATTTTATACTTCAGGGGAAGAGTTATTGTAAGTGTCCCTACACATCTCCAGTCTATTTCTACTACTTCTGAGACACTTCCAGCTGCAGAATAGAAATGATCTTTGTTGTCCTTATACAGGCAGTCCCCGGGTTACATGGATCCGACTTACATCAGATCCCTACTTACAAACGGGGTGAGGCAACCCCGCACTAGCTGCTTCCCCCCAGCAGACCAGGGAGACGCAAAGCTAGCACCCCTCCCAGCAGACCAGGGAGACGTGGAGCGGATTTTCTCAGCAGACACCTCAGCTTGAGAATAAAGGACTGAGGGAAGTGAGGTGTGGGAGAATAAAACTGAGCTCTGGAGAAATGTTTGGCTAGAGTTTCCCCTACAATATGTACCAGTTCCGACATACATACAAATTCAACTTAAGAACAAACCTACAGTCCCTATCTTGTACGTAACCCAGGGACTCTTGTCATCAGATAATAGTGGCCATTTGGTTTCCACTAATGCTAGTGCTGAATCACTAACTAATAACTCAAGGTTCAAAGACCTTTGCCACAAAACATAACTAGTTTTTTTTTTCTTCCAGGTGTGTCTACCATACTACTACTGGTATACAGTGATAGTTTTCACTGTTAAAAACGCACTAAACTCACTAAGTGTTTAATTAACACCACAAAGATACCTGAAAGAAACTTAGAACTTTTTTTCTTAGGAGAAACTGGTCATTATGCCAAATGGCTGCTTCCACTATACACAGCAACAAGAACAATTGGCTTCCTAATTATTTTTCTTCCCAGAAGTTTAATAAAAATAACACATTTTCTTGTCTACTAGTTGCAGTGTTAAGAGTTAACTCTGAGTTCTGTTTAAGGCTCCTCAATTCTGTGAAGATGCACTTATGTGCTTGACTTTATTCATATGAGTAGCCTCACTGATTGATTTCAGTTGAGCCATAGTGTGGAATGTTCAGTACATTAGTCTTGATAGGATCAGGGCCTAATATATTTACTGTTCTGCTTAGACCTCATGTAAATTTAGATTTCCTCTGTTCCCAACTAGTGCTTCAGAGATGGACTACAATCACGATATAAAGGAGGAAAAAGAATTAGAAATACAGCTAATAAAATCCTAGACTAAATATTTACAGAGATTAAAATGGGGTGAGAAATTAACCAGGCTTTTCCAAGTAATTGCCAGACTTCAACAATGAAATAGCTTAGGCCATATTTGATGCCTTTTCTTGGTTGGGCTTTTAGGGGATCCACACAGACATTTCTGAAATGTGTTTTTTTTTAAATGAAAAGTTGCCGGATGATTTAATTCAGCATATGCAAAAACTAATTTAAAAAAACTGATTAAAAACTGATTTAATTGGGGAGCTATGCTAGAGCTCAGTTTGGTCCACAGACATACAGCAAAATGAAGCATTAAAAATAACAGAATGTGCACTACTACAAAGGCATTTACAAGCCTTTCCTTAGAGGAAAGGCATCAGTGAAAATTTTGTGCACAGAGAAATTTAGGAACTGAAGTTCTGTCCACATTGTAAGACTTATTATGCAAAAATGTTCTAGCCATACTTTTGAAACTGCTTGAAATTGGGTTGGCACCCAGCATCCTCCTTTTTAGTCTTTCTGTATAAAGAAAGACTATTTCTATTTGATAGGATGATTTTAAATGAAGTAGAAGTGGCTGCTCTAACCAAAATATTCTTTTCTGTTGCAGACAACCATTATCTCTTACAAGGTGCAATAGTGGTTGACCATGACTACATTTGCTTATCGGAAAGTTCATATGGGCCATGCCTACAAGACAGCACTGCTGAAGGGGAAGTAAATACCCTTGCAGCAAACAATCTGCTGCCTCCACCTGGCAAAGACAGTGAACCCTCAGACAGTAAAAGTCATTCAGAGTTTACTGATGATCATAGCATTCTGTCAGCTAACTCAAATCAAGAACAATGGTCTTCAACCTGTTGGACTTTTCAAACCAAACTAGAGGAGACTTAAGTAAATAAAACCCTACAATGTTTCATTAGAAGAAGTGGTCCTAAACTTCTCTGGTGGAATTGAAAGGGCTTCAGTAGCTTTAAATTGCTTAGCCAAATTTTAAATATTGAAATGTTAAGATACTTGTATTTACAACTGTATATGTTTGTGAATAATAGTATGTGTCTGGTAATTAGTTTGTATATATGCATTAACATGTTTGTTTTACAAGAAATATGGAAATAGTTGAGTAAAAGCACATTTCACTACTATACAGTGGGACTGTAATATGTTTATATATTTATTTACACTGTGGTCTTACCCGCCATGCCTTAGTCCTTAACCACAAAAGTATGGCACAACATTCCATTTTATGGCCACTTCACTTGTCTTGTGAGTGGTTCAAGAGCTCTGAGAATTCCAGGACTGTAAGCTGAATGACCAAAGTCTGCCTCTAGCTCCAGGAAGGCAAAGTAGTTTACACCAGCTTTTTGGGGAAAGTTATGAGTTCTGCTTTTCATAGCTTCTGTTTTTCATTGCTGGCACAAGTCTACAGCCGCTCTCCGAGTTACGAACAAGTTACGGACCAACACTTGATCCGTAACTCGAAGTGTTTGTAACTCAGATCCCATAGAGTTACATGGTGACCGCATTGTTCGTAAGCGCGGATTGCCGTTCGTAACTCGGATCTGCATTTACGACCGCTTTGGTCTTAAGTGCGGATGGTCGTAACTCGGGGAGCGGCTGTATGTTACTCCGTGAAGCAGCATAGCTGCCAAAGCATGGTGCAAGAATTGTTCTTCATGAGAAACAGCTCTACATTGTCATGTGTAGAATTTCACCAGTTTACTCGCAGCCTATCAAAACACTCTAAAAGCTTTCTTTTCCTTGCAGTCTGTTAGGGTATGTCCACACAGCAGGGCTAAAGCCAAAATAAGCTATGCAACTTATGTCAATTGCGTAGCTTATTTCAGCTTTTAGCATTGTCTTCACAGCAGGAAGTCTGAGAGAGCCCTCTTCTTCCGACTTCCCTTACTCCTCATACAATGAGGCTGTGTCTAGACTGGCCAGTTTTTCTGGAAAATCAGCCACTTTTCCGGAAAAACTTGCCAGCTGTCTACACTGGCTGCTTGAATTTCCGCAACAGCACTGACTTCCTACTGTAAGAAATCCGTGCTTCTTACGGAAATACTATGATCCTCCCATTCAGGCAAAAGTCCTTTTGCGCAAAAGGGCCAGTGTAGACAGTTCAGATTTGTTTTCCGCAAAAAAGCCCCGATCGCAAAAATGGCGATCGGGGCTTTTTTGCGGAAAAGCGCGTCTAGATTGGCACGGATGCTTTTCTGCAAAAACTGCTTTTGCGGAAAAGCGTCCATGCCAATCTAGACGCTCTTTTCCGAAAATGCTTTTACCGGAAAACTTTTCTGTTAAAAGCATTTCCGGAAAATGATGCCAGTCTAGATGTAGCCTGAGAGTTACAGGAGTCAGAGTAAGAAGTCCTCCAGCTCAACAATATTTCAACATTATGCCAAAATAACTGCTTGCAGACTTTATTTTGGAATAAAGTCTGAGATAGTGAGGCTGCATTGCTACAGAAAACCCCAAAGTATGTACCACTACTCATCTCCATATCATCTTTAAAGCAGCAAATCTCTATGTGACGCATCCTGCTTGTAGCATGAACACCACACACACTGGTCTGCCTCAGTGCTTAGGACTGCGTGATTGAATGCTTAGTCTGTGTCCATCATTGGTGATACAATTAAAAAAACCCAAAGAAAACCACAAAGTTTTTGGCACTAATGTGATTTACCATCTAGGGACAGTCCTTGGTAAATGTATTTTGTGATTCACTGATCATATAGCCTAAATCTGTCTGGAGTCTCCATTACCATTTTTCTGTTCATAAAAAAACTTGTTCTAAACCTAGGAAGGGGCCTTGCTGTTACTGAAATCCATACATCTTACTTTCTCTCTCTTTCTGAAAATTTGCCAAGATGAGTTGTGAGCTGCGGGGAGGGGAATCACCCTGTGTGCGTGCACAGGAGCTGTGTTTTTGTGCTTGCTGTAGTGCTCTTTGCAGCATCCCAGAACTACAAAGCAACACTATAGGGCCAGACCCAGGAACCATGAAAGTGGATAATTACCACCCCTTGACTTAGGAGAAGAAGCCCAGTGCTGAGATCTCTAGTGTTACCTCTTTCACTGACTGGTATTACTCACTTTCTGCTCTTTGTGATGATTCATGTTGTTGACCAAGACTTCATACTTCTAGTGGTTTTCTTCTTAGGCTATGTCTAGATAGCAGTGTTATTTTGGAATAACTGACATTATTCCTAAATAACACAGTCCATGTCTACACTACAAGCTGTTATTTTGACATTCTGTCAAAATAATGTCAAGCTGGAGGACTATTTACTGTAACCCTCATTTTATGAGGAGTAAGGGAAGTCGAAGGAAGAGCTTTGTGGCACTGTGTGCACTGTGTAGACGGCGCCAAAAACTGACATAACCTATTTCGACTTAAGTTACACAACTGATGTAGCTCAGGTTGCGTAGCTTATTTCAGCTTTAGTTTTGTGATAATAGTACTAGAACAGTGGTCTCCAACCTTTTTACACCCAAGATCACTTTTTAAATGACAGACCAAGCCAAGATCTATCGCCCCGCTCCGCCCCTTCCTTAAAGCCCCGCCCTCTCTATTCTCCTCTTCTCTATCACTTGCTATCCCCAATCCTTATACTGCTGCTTAAAAAAAAAAAATTCTGTAGGAAGAGGTTTTTCCAACATTTGGCCTATCTACACTGGACCAAATGTCAGGGAAAAAAACCCTTCTTTTGGAAGCCCCCTTATTCCTTGTGGAAAGAGGAATATAGGGGTGACCAAAAGAGCCTGTTTGCTCTTCCACTGAAAAAGCGGAAGAACAAACACAACCCTGGATGCAGAAGAGTTTTTCTGAAATATCTCCAGAATCCTGAAAAACTCCTGCAGTCTAGCTGGACCCTTGCTGTGTTGAGACAGGATGTGTAGTCTCTGGGGTGGGAATGAGGGATTTGGGTGTGGGAAGGGTTGAGAGGTGCAAGCTCTGGGAGGAAATCTGGATGCAGGAGGAGGTAGAGAAGGGGACACTGACTCGGGGAGGGGGCTCCAGGCTGGACAGTGTTGGGATACTAACACTAACAGCAAGCTTCCCGGGCTGAGCACAGGGCAGCCAGGCAGGAGCAAAGAGAAGCAGCTTCCTGGCTAGCTGGCCATGGTGCTCAGCCAGGGTGCACCAAGCTCCAAGTGGGCTGGTGCAGAGGAGAAGCTGGCTGGCCAGCTGGCTGTGGCCTTCAGCTTGGAGGAGGCTGAACCACACTCCAGCTGATCAGCAGCTTCTCCTCTGCGCCTACCCACGTGGAGCTTGGTGCACCCTGGCTGAGCAACATGGCCAGCTGGCCGTGCAGCTGCTTCTCTTCCCTCCCGCCCGGCTGCCTTGCACTCAGCCCGGGAAGCTTGCTCCAGCACAGCTGGAGCTAGACGTAGCCTCCCTGGGCTGAGTGCAGGGCAGCCGGGCTGGAGGGAAGAGAAGGGGCTGCCCGGGAAGCTGGGTCTAGCACCAACGCACGAGAAGCCACCGATCAGCTGGAGTGTGGGGCAGCCTCTTTCAGCTGAAAGCCACAGTCAGCTGGCTGGGGTGTTTCAGCCCTCCCGACCTCCCAGCTCCCACCATTCCTCGCAGCTACTCACCTGTGTTGTTGCTCGGTGAGTAGCTGCTCCTCAAATGAGGAAATATAATGTAAATGTACTGCGCAGGCACGCAGTTCAGAGAGGGCTCAAGAGCTACTCTTAGAGCCCCTGAGATCTACTGGTAGCTCGCGATCTACTGGTTGGTGACCACAGTACTAGAAGATGTAGCAAGGGAGCTGGTTGGAAAATTTTTCTTCCCTCTGAGGGAAATTTTTGATTAAAAGTTAGCTTGAAGTTTTTTTCCATAGAGAATTATTTTTTTAAATTGTAAACCACAGAATTTCAACTGAATATCCAAATCTTCATTTTGGAAATATTTCCATAGGGCATGTTACGTCAGGTATGTATGTCCCCATTCTTCTCTTTTGGGGTAGGCTCCCTGGCCACCCTATATCTCCCCAGTTGTCGAGCTACTGTGGTATATCATTAGAAACTTGGTTAGCCTGGTCCACAGATGTAAATGGGGGCATGAGTCAGGATCAGAATTTTGGGGTTGTGGCCCAAGCCTTTTTAGGTGATCAGTTTTTGAACAAAAAGTAGAAACATATGCAGCAAGCAGACAACACTTGACATTTATTTTTATCAAATCTAATTTGCCACTGATAAACAATTTTCATTGAAAATTTTCCATCAGCCCTCCCACTTCCTGATGGCACAGCTAGGAAAGGAACCTAGGACCAAGATTTTCAAATGCTGATAGTGAATCTGGGTGACCAACTTAAGATGCCTGTAAAGAGGCTTAGCTCTCAGAAACTGCTTAAGTATCCTCCTGAAAATTTGGTCCTGCACTTGGAAGAATTCAGTTTTGCTAACTGTCGTCTTGAAAGAATGTATCAAACCTAGGTCATTGGCTATGCTGTCTGTAAAATAAGGCTGCTCCTACATACCCACTTTACCAAGCACTTTTGAGACCGAGGACTATATCACTCATGGACAAATACATAGAAAGAAATCTATATCTCAGGCCTCCTCTTGAACCACTGGTTTACACTCCCCTCCGAGAACCAAGAATAGAGTCCAGTAATCCTGACAGCCAGCATCCTACTACTGTGTAGAAAACGGTGGCGTATGATGCAATTTCTTTGGCTCTGTCTTAAATCTGCTTTAAAAAAAAACAGTTAGAAAATTTGATTTACAAAACCATCATTATTAATATTAAAAAGCCAAGCACTAAAATAGGAAATTATAACCTTCATTCTGTCCTTTTGTGGATTTTCATATAATCTAGAATGATAATACTACTTTTTACAGGACTCTTATTTTGAAGTAGAGGGCCAGCTGGCACCATTGTCAGCTGCCTGTGATATTTCTCCAGGTGGAGTTTCACCCATCTGTGGTCAGCCTACCAGAGTCAGCTCCTTTAACCTCGTGTCCATAGCATAAAGTGCATTCTGGCTTTAGCAATAAGATCAGACAGAGAACTAGGAAGATGGCTCCTTTATTCCCCATCTGGCCTGGATGTTTTTCACCAGATACTAAGGCCTGGTCTACACTAGGAATGTCAATGTGTAGACGACTACACGATTAACCGAGAAGCCCAGG